GCATGATAAAATGTCCCTTCTTGTTGATTACATTTCCAGCATAAATTTGAAGTACCTTTCTACATTCTAGACAATTTTTCCAGTGACATGTACCAATAATACATCATTTTATGAAAATTCTCTTTAAGACTATAACAGAATGTAAATTTCAGCCCTTTCAACCACATATTCTTCCACTGTTTCATGTGTATATTATAACCAAAGTTTTTATCATACGTTTTTTCACTTGTTCTTCTTCTGTTTCAAATTTCAGTAATAGTTTATACATTTTAGCAATAGCATGTTCATCACTTGTATAGAATTTTGTTTTAATTCAGTCTTACAGGTAGTCCTCGACTTATGACCATTTGTTCAGCGACTGTTCAGTTACGATGGTGCTGAATGAATGGCGGTTACAACTGGTCCTTGGAGATACAGCCGTCCCAGCACCCCCATCCCCCACCCACACACCCTCCCTCAGCTCCTCTGTGCTTGTGCCGCACCACTCGCGCACCCTCCCTGACCCGCGCTGTAACCCCACTCACCCTCCCCATCCTGTGTGGCGTCGCTTGCGCACCCCTGCACAACTCACCAACTCATGCTGCACCTCTCGCACACCTCCACACACCCTCCCTAACCCTGCCCTGCACCCCAACCTGGCAGCAGCGACTTACCTGCCTGCTGGCCTGGGACCTTCAACTTCCTGCCAGCTTGCTCACTGACTTTGGGTGTGGGAAGCCAACAGGAAGTTTCCTTGCCTAATGAGTGTGGAATTCAGTTAACAACGGCAACAAGGAGTGTAGGATCGCTGTCGCTAAGCAATGTGATTGCGCTTTACAACAGCATTGCTTAGCAACAGAAAATCCAGTCCCAATTGTTGTCGTAAGTCGAGGACTACCTGTACAATGTTCAGAACTTAAACTTCTTTTATCTACTTTAAATCTTTCTAGTAATTGTACATAAGAAAACCGCCAGCTCTTTTGATTTTATTTTACATTCTCCTTGACAAAATTCTAGTATATCAGAGTAAGTTAACCATTTATGTTTAGTTATCATTTCTCTTCTATAGAATGCTTCCTGTGCTGCAAGCCACAGAGGTATTTTCGGGCACAACCTAGGGTTATATCTATTTCATATTCCCAGTATGGCATGTCTAACAAAATTATTTTTAAAATATACATTAACCTTAGCTTTGTCATACTGTAAATATCCATGCCACCCAAATCTCAAGTCGTGTTCTTCTAACTCCAAAAGCCTTCTGTTTCTCAGCAACATCCATTCTTTCATCCAAACTAAACAAGCTGCAAAGTATAATTTCAAATCAGGTAAACCCAATCCTCCTCTTTTGCATGTTGTAACATCTTATATTTAACTATTGGTTTTTTTCCCCCTGCCACACAAATTTAGATATATCTTTCTGCCATTGTTTAATTGGTACATCAGATGTCAAAACAGGTATTGTCTGAAATAAAAATAACATTTTAGGTAAAGCATTCATTTTAATCACAGAAATTCTCCCCAACAGTGATAATTGTGTTTTCTCCCATCTTAACATATCTGTTTTAACTTCATTCCAAGTCTTTACATAATTATTTTGAAATAACATACAATTAATATTTGTAATATTAATACCCAAGTATTTTATCTTCTTCTCAACCTTAAAACCTGTTTTATTCATCAGTTCCATTTGATCTTGTATCTTCATATTTTTTGTCAACATCTTTATCTTCTGTTTGTTGATTTTAAAACGTGCTAATACACCAAATTCTTTTAATTTTCTCATTAATATTTCAGTTTCCTTTAAAATAACTACTAAAACCAGAACCAGGTCATCTGCAAAAGCTCTTAATTTATGTCTCTTTTTTAATCTGTATCCCCTTAATCCTATCATCTTGTCTTATATCTCTATTTAGTATTTCTAGGATTAAAATAAAGAAAAGAGGAGAGGGTGAAGAACTCTCTCTTGTTTCTTTTTTGTATCTCATATGGTTTAGTTAAATCTCCATTAACAATTATATGTGCCTTCTGTGAAGTATATATCAATTTAATCCATTTTATAAAATTCTCTCCAAAATTCATATCTTCCAAAATGTTATATTAAAAAGTCTAATTCAAACTGTCAAAAGCTTTCTTTGCATCTAAAAAGTTTAATGCAACGTGTTTTTCATTATGCTGTTCAAAATATTTTAGAATATCCAGCGCAGTTCTAATATTGTCTATTAATTGTCTTTTAGGTAAAAACCCACATTGATCTTCATGAATAAATTATTGTAAAATTATTTTCAGTCTATCAGCTAGAATCATTGTGAACAATTAATAATCATTATAAATATTAGTCTATAATTTCTTGTCAAAGTCAAATCTTGTCCATCTTTAGGTATTAATGCTATATTTGTATCTTTCCAATCTCAGGCATCTTTCCTTCCTGTAAAATATAATTAAGTAACTTATTATTTAATACACAATTTTAGTGATATTTCAAAATATTTATTTTATTTATATATCAGATTTGTCACTGCCCATCTCGTTAAAAAAACAGCTCTGGGTGGTTTGCAGAGAAGCTAAAATCAGTTAAAAATACAATGTAAAATAGTCCTGATTAAATAAGAAATAAATATAGTCTAAGAATTTATGTTAATTCGCAAGTAGCTCAGGGAGCATCATCAGGGCACCAGCCACCCCCAGGATTAAGATTCTTGTTGTCCCATGCAAGCTGGCAGGGCCAGGTCTTTAGTCATTTCCAGAAAGCTGGGAGGGTAGGGGCCCACTGCACCTCTGGGAGGAGAATATTCCAAAGGGTGGGGGCAACGGCAGAGAAGGCTCTCCTCCTGGGCCCCGCCAGCTGACATTCTCTTGCTCCAGTTTCTGCCTGACTGGGTGGGATGGGATGATGTGATGGGGGTGAGACAGTCCCTCAGATAACCTGGATCCATGCCATGTAGGTGTGGATTTAAAGGTTATCTGAGGTGATAACCAACACCTTGAATTGTACCTGGAAGCAAACTGGCACCCAATGCAGCTCCCACAGTAAAAGTGTTATATGTGCCATTCTTGGGGCACTCAAGATTGTCTGCATGGCTGCATTTTGAACTAGCTGTACCTTCCAGATACTCTTCAAGGGTAGCCCCATGTAGAGAGCTGCATTTTGAACTAGCTGTAGCTTCCAGATACTCTTCAAGGGTAGCCCCATGTAGAGAGCATTACAGTAGTCTAACTGAGAGATGACCGACTGGAGAGCCTCCTGATCCAGGAAAGGACGAACTGGTGCACCACCACAAACGTGCGCAGGAGTTGTGAGTCCAAGAGGACCCCCAGATTACACACCGGGTCTGTCTGGGGCAGTGCAACCCTGTCTAAAACCAAAGATGGTAAATCCTCGAATATAGAGGGGCCTCCAATCCACAGCCACTCTGTCTTACCAAGGTTCAGCTGAAGCCTGTTGCACCCCATCCAGACCCCCACAGCTTCCAGGCACCGCGAAAGGGTGGTCACGGCATCACTCAAGTCACCAAGATAGAGATGTATAACTGGGTATCATCTGCGTATTGATGATACCTCATCCCGTGGTGGCAGATGATCTCACCCAGTGGTTTCATGTAGATGTTAAAAAGGAGCAGAGAGAGTACCGAACCCTGCGGTACCCCACACTGGAGGGGCCATGGGCTGACCTCTCGCTCCCAATCAGCACCGATTGGGATAGACCTTGGAGGAAGGAGGAGAAGCAGCGCAAAACTGTGCTGCCCACTCCCAACTCCCTAAGTCAACCCAAAAGGATACCATGGTCAATCGTATTGAAAGCTGCTGAGAGGTCAAGAAGAGCAAGGATGGATGCATTAGTTGTTAGTTGGCAGATTTTATTTTTCTTTGTGTGGAAAATATGCTTGGCAAACTTTGGTGAAAATATGCACTTGAATGGGTAATCTAAATATGATTGATAGACAGACAGACAGACAGACAAATACCTGAAATATTCCACAAAGAGTAATAGACAGTTTCCATGCAAGAAAGGTTTTGTCGTCGTCGTTTTTTTTTTACTGCAAGAGAATTTGTAGAGCAATATTATTTATATATTTTTTGTTTTTTAAAAATAAGCCATATAAGAAGAAAAGAAACTTCCCATACTGAGTTAAACTAAGAATTCAAAATGATATCTTTCTGAAGGAAAGGAAAATAGAATGTATTCTTTTCCCTGTGCCCATTCAGACATTAAAATCCTGCAGATAAGAGTACTCTGTATTACTCTATTTTTCTCTTCATTGTAGTCGCCCTGGTTTTGGGATACACGACAATGCTGGCATAACTATCCTTATCAGGTATCCATTTTCTTTAATAATATTTGTAGCAATGTTATTATAAGATAATTTGGTGTAGGTGCTTTGGGGTTTGTGTTGTTGTATTTTTTTTCCTAATAAAATTTGGAGTTAGCACTGCACCACTGCAGCATTGGTGCAGATACAGAGCTTCCTGATTTGAAAGGTTTAACAAATCACCTAGATTCCTTTGAAAAAGCTGCTGTTGCTGCTTCTCCACTAAATAGGACATCATGAAGTAGTTAGCAGTATACCATGAAGCAGTACACACATTAGTGCATATTAACCAATACAGATTTGTTGTCATTGTAAGACATTTGAAAACTCTTTAACTCATATGATTTGGTGTGGTCCAGCCATAGCCTCCCTTTGGTTTCAAGTTATAGTATATGTTAACGCATTCCTGGAAAAAATACAGTAGTTAAAGATGTAAATGTGATGTTGAATTATATTCGTAAAATATGGAGTTTGACATTTTATGAAGAGTTTAGACTTTATCGAGCTTGGAGCTCAGCAAAGAGAATAGTTTTATGTAAGTGGAAAGAAACTTGCTCTCCTGATATTAAGGACTGGATATCTGGTTTAATATATCTTGGCTTAGCAGACCTCTAATACAAGGGACATATTTTTCATCCAGACTGCATATCCATTTAACAGACTTGTTCATCAAATGAAGGGTTTTCCATTGAGTTAAGGGTCTGTTAAATTGAGGTTTTACTGCAAATAGCTTTGTTTTATCAATTTGATCATTGCACAAATAATGTAAATTAACACAAATGATATAAATTTTGATTTAATGAACCTCCCTCCTCTCCCTGAATGGTTCATTAAATAAGAGGAAAGAGGGCTATGTACACTGCCTTGAGCCTGTGAATGAAAGGTGGGATATAAGTCTAATACATTTAAAATAAATTGAGGCTTTGTTTGTATTATGCATTTAACTGGTAGGTTTTTTGCCCTGCATTAGAATTTAAAAGGTTTATTTTAAGAAGGATTTTGAACAGATTTAGAGAAGGGCACTGAGATTATCAGGGGACTAGAAGAGACTAAATTTAAGAGGAAGGTTTAGCCTTGAGAAAAGAAAACTCAGAGGAGATATGCCTGCACTTTTCAAGTGCCTGAAAGATGTCACAGAAAATAAAGCCGGGATCTATTGTCTGTCATTTCAGAAGGCAGAGGACAGAATAATAACTATATTTTTATTTTATTTTTTATTAGTAGTAGTATGCGGCCCACTTTGTGAGATTCAGGGCAGCTTGCAATAATAAAAGCATCATCAGAACATCAGAACTGTAAAATTGTAAAACATTATCCAAGTAAAATCAGAAAAGGAGAAAAATCACCTTTAAACATAAAAAGATTTATGTAACAGGAAGGCATACCTTTATTATACATTATGACAAATTCCTGACTGAACAGTTCAACAGTACAAACCTTGTTTAATGACCACTCATTCAGCGACCATTCAAAGTTATGATGGCACTGAATGATTGGTATTTACCACCGGTCCTCATAGATACAGCTGTTGCAGCGTCCCAGTCATGTGATTGCCATTTGTGACCTTCACTGCCAGCTTCCGACAAGCAAAGTCGATGGGGAAGCTGGTAGGAGGTTGCAAATCACAATCATGTGACATTGCATGATTCTCGATGGCAACCGGAAGTGCTGTTGCTAAGCAGCACAGTTACATGATGCTGCACTTTATGACTGATGCTTAGCAACGGAAATTCCAGTCCCAGTTACCATCATTAAGCAAGGACTAGCTGTAGAATCAGTTGTTCAGGAAGATTTTGGGCTCCCCTCCACTGGATGTATCTAAATGGAAGCAGACAGCCATCTGAGTTCTTGCAGAGTACTGAATTTCATGGCATAAATGTCCACTTCCAGATCAATGGATTTGGTGTTGTATTATTAAGTAGCAGAGATAATCCAGTGAGAAAAGCTGTAGAATACCCTTTCCCTAATGTAGCATAGGCTTGCTTTGACCTTCCATCACAGTATGGGTAGTTCTTGACTTACGACCATTCGTTCAGCAGCCGTTTGAAATTATGGCACTGAAATTTCACGCACCCACGCCACGTCCCTATGCACCCTTCCCAACCTGCATGGTGCCTTTCATGCACCCAACCTGTGTGATGCCTGTTGTGCACCCCCGTGCACCCCCCTCACCCATGTGACACCTCTCATACATCCACACCCAGACCTCCCACACACCCCCACCCACCCGCTTGCTCCCTCTCTCACCTGGCAGCAACCACTTTCTTGCCTGTGTACCTGGGTCTTGCAACCTGAGTTTGGTTGTGGGAAGCCAGCAGGAAGTTGCCTTGCGTAACAACCATGGGATTCAGTTAACATTGGCAACCAGGACTGCAGGGATTGCCGTTGCTAAGCAATGTGGTCACACTTTATGACTGCGTTGCTTAGTGATGGAAATTCTGGTCCTAATTGCTGTCATAAGTTGAGGACTACCTGTAAGAATGGATGGAGGAACAATAGCACATACTTTGGAAGACTGTTTTCAAGTTCATACCAGTCAACTCACTTGAAAATAGTTTGTGCAGAAGAATTTCAAAACAACATCAAGACATTGATGTTGAAGCTTCTTTGATCTTTTCTTTTAAAAATACCTTTTGAAAAGGAATAACTTCCTGTCAGAAGCACACACTATATATTAATATCCCTTTTTTCATGGGCTTCAGTTAAATGAAACAAGCATTTATTAATTACTAGCCAGGCCTGTCATGTTTAACAAGGTAAGGAAGATCTGCAAGTGCATTCTTTCCTCCAACCCTTCTCCTATCTTTCTTCCATTTATTCTCACCTCCATTATTGAGGTTATTGCCTTAGAGATGGTTGAGCTTGTTTTTCCAAACATCCATTTGCCTCCTATTCAGCAGTGAAATGCATGTCCCAGGGATTGGGGGTAAATAAGGGCTGCATAGTGTCTCCCTCCATTTCGGTTAATTCTGACAGGGGAAAATGCTCTGTATTGCCATCCACCGTCTTCCTGTATCCTGATTTTTTGTGGGGAAGGCATTGGAAACATTGCTAAGAGCTATTAACAGGAAAAAAGATGTGGCATTGCTTTCCTGCTTTTCCTCTTTATTTGTGGTCAAGCTAGTTGATCTTTTTTTTTACATCTTAGCAGTCATTTGCATTTTGAAATCATGTTAATGAATTTTAGAAGAATATTATGGTTGTGATCAGATCTCCCACCGTTTAAGAAACTGATAGCAATTCTTTACAGAGATGGGAATAAGAGAGAGAAAATACCTTTCTAATTTGAAAATACAATAAATAAAATTTAGGTTCATAAATTTCTCTTAATGGAGATATTGAATGAGCCACATAAACAAGATTTATTTTCTGTTTTTCAGCCCATAACTTCTGGCATTTACTATTATTATATCATCGAACTGGCCTATTACTCGTCTCTTATGTTTTCACAGTTTATTGATATTAAGCGAAAGGTAAGAAAAAAGCTTTTCTCCAGGAGCCTATAGGTATCTTATTTATTCATTTATATTAAAAAAGGGTTAATCTTCCCATAATAATAGAAATACCAGTTTGTGTCCTTGATTAAATCCTGTAGCAGATTATACAACAATTCAGAAGGCTAAAAATACTTTAATTTGGCTAAGGCAGTCATCTTTTGTAATTCTAAAAATTGTATCTGGAGTATTTGGCTGCAATATTAACTAAATTACTTACTTCTTTTTCAGAAAAATGTCTGCTAGTTGTTTTAAGTTTTTAAAAAAAATTATACTCAATAAGCCCGAATCTGAGAGGCTGATGTAAGATGAATGTTGCAGTATTGGCTTTTCTTATCCTTTAGCATTGCTAAAATTGCACGGGCAATTGAGCAGCTTGCCGCCTTCGGGAGGAGCATCTAATGTTGGCTGCTTATTTTGGGACGAGATAAATAGGAGGCTCTCCAGTGTGCATACACACTCCGTACGTAAGTTTGGAAGGCTGCTAAAGGAGGAGCAGTGGTCCTGCTCTTCCACCAGAGGTGTTCTCCATAAAACAAAATGCAATCCTGTTCAAGCTAGCTGCCCTGAAAAAGAGAAAATAAATAATTATATCCTGGGATTAGGATATTTTCTGACACCGTGCAGCAGAGAAACTTTTTTTTTCTGTGAGATGCAAAGATAGCTTGGATAGTGTTTCTCAGCAGCCTTAAATTTCATTTGGATTTTGTGCATAAAATATGCTTCTGTGTGGACATAGATGTCAGTTGATTGGTGATGAAGTTGTCTGTCTTCCTGCATTCAGTCTGGATGGCTCACAATATAATAAGCAATAAAAACTCAAAAAGGGAATTTGGTTGCTTGATACAAAAACATAGACAAAAACACACCCAACGAGGCTCCATTCACCATAACCCAAGGACTGGGAGAAAAACCAGATCTTCAGGGTCTAATAGAACACTATCAGGGGTGGGAGCCACACAAATTTCAGGGGTGAACTTGTTCCAGAGTGCAGTTACTGTGGCAGAGAAGGTGTACCTTCTGGGTCGCGACAGATGGCACTAATTAATTGAAGGAACCCAGAGTGAACCAACTGTGCTGGCACTTACCAGCTGGGCAGAAACCATGGAAGATAAGTGGTCCCTCAAATAACCTGGCCCTATGCTAAGTAGGGCTTTATAGGTGATGATCAGCACCTTGAATTGCATCTGGAAGCATACTGGCAGCCAGTACAGAAAGAGCGTCTCAAGCCTGGGCAGACTGAAGCTGCATTCTGGACCAGTAGAAGCTTTCAAGTGGTGTTTATTGCAGTAGTCAAGCCTTGAGGTTACTAAGTCAGAGTGACTGCCTGAAATGCATCCTGATCCAGTTCAAAACCCTCTTGGCCAGAGATGTCACTTGCTCTTCAAGTAGGAGCTTTGAGTCCAAGAGGACCCCCAGATTGCAAAGTACTCTTGAATGGGGAAGTGGTACCTCATCCAAGAGTATAAGTGGAAAATCCCCAGATCCAGGGGGCCCTAAGATCTACAGTCACTTAGTCTTGGTATGATTGAGTCAGAGTCAGTTTCTCCCCATTCAGGCATGCACAGCCTCTAGACAGTGGGACAGGATCTTGACAGCCTCACTTGGCCGGCCTGGTTTAAAAGATAAAATTGGGTATATTGATATATGATACTGAGCCCCAAACTGGTGGATGACCTCACTAGTTCATGTATATGTTAATAGGGGAGGGGGCATTGAATCCTGTAGCACCCCTCATAAGAGAGGCCTAAGAGATAACTTCTCCACCCCTCTTGTCAAGATTGACTGGAGCTGGTCACAAAGGAAGGAGAAGAACCACTGTAAAATGTCCAGAAGGATACGGTGATCAACAGTATTAAAGGTTGCTGAGAGATCAAGGAGTATGAGGATGGATGTACCACCCCCATTCTGGCTCGGCACAGGTCACTAATAAGCACAACCAAAGCTGTCTCTACTGAATTCCAACCTGAAACCCGACTGAAATGGGTCTAGATATTCTGCTTCCTTCAGGGTTCTCTGCAACTGCAGATTGACCACCTGAACAATCTTCCCTAAAAAGGGAAGACTGGAGACAGGATGGTAGTTCTCTAGAATCACTGAGTCCAAGGCAGCTCTCTTAAGGGGCCACAACCACCTCCTTCACAGCTGAAGGCACAAGGCATCACCCTCTCTCTCTCAACAAGGCCAACACCACAGTATGAACCTAAGCACAGGTTACTTCCTTGGCCTCCTTAACAACTCAGGAGGAACCTGGGTTCACTAAACTTGTGGTAGACTAAGAGTGCACAGAATTCTGTCTACTTCCTCAGGAGTCATGATTCAAGCTCATCCCAGATCATACCTCCAGACTGACCCCCAAGCTCTTTGCCTGGACCCGCCCATTTGGAGTCCAGCTTAGAGTGAATCTGAGCAACTTTATCTGCCAAATACTCAGAATAATTTTCAAAGCAGCCTTGCAGATGATCTGGTGGCCCGTCTCTCTCCAGCAAGGACCAGATCACCCTAAAAAGGGCTGCTAGATGGCTATCAGTGGACGCAATAAGGGCAGAGAAATATTGATGTTTTGCCACAAGTAATCTTGAATATGGGCTCTTACCCACATCAGACTCATTTTGGGTCTTCCTCCAGTGGCACTTCAGGTGTCTCTTCTGATGCTTCATCTCTCACTAAACCAAGGTGCATCCCAAGATCAGCACACAGGGATAGGCCACTCAGATATGATACAGTCCTAGGCCCCAGCCACCTGCCTATTCCAGGCAGCAGTTAAGGCCTTGGCCGAGCTACCTATTAGATATGAGGGAAAACCCTAAATTCCCTCTGAAATTCTATTGGGTCCATCAATCCTTTGGGGAGGGCCATTCAAATGGGTCCTGTCTTCCTGCCAGTGGGGGATGGGTGACTCCAGTGAGCTAGAAGGCAATCGGAGTGTGATCTGTCTATGGCAGCTGACTGATATTAAAGTCCTCCACTATCAGATGATATCACAACGGTCCCAAGACAAAAACAAAACAAAACTCATCCATTGTGGTCACCAGTAAGCACTGATCCATTGACTAGAGACAGCCATAAACTCTTGAGCTGCCCTGGGCTCAACACCAGCTGAAGTCCCTGTGACAGAATCCAAACTCTATTCCCAGCCCTGTGATAGAATCCAGAAACTTAGGGACTATGCTGGGGGGCGGGGGGGCGGGGGACGCGGTACACCGAACGAGACAACGCCCAAG